AGTGACACAGCCATTACGCCAACTGCTGGTCCCTCTTCTTTTTAAGTTTGTCAGAGAGTGTATGTGCTTGCCAGAGAGAGACAGTGAGAGAAAGAGAGAGAGTAAGAAAGCACCCCCCAGAGTGGATGGCCAAATTACAATCTCTTCTCCATTTCTCTCTCCTATTAGGGTTTTTGGCACTCATGCGCATAAGCCTGTTGTGCTTCTCAGGCCACCAGGTCCAGGACTCAAGTCATGCGGTCAGCTATGTGGGATCCAGTCGCCTTAACCACCACGCCGCTGGGGGGTCCCTAATGACCTTCCTAAAATCACTTCCTGATCCTGCTACTCACCTACTCGGACTTCCTCCATGGATCCTTGTTACCCATGAGGGTCAGGACCAAAGCTCCCCACACCCAGCCTTCCCTCCCACTGCTCCCCTGCACACACCTGCACCGCCTCTGCCTGCTACTCCGGCCTGCCTCTTTGCCTTCTCTGGGTGATGCTCTCGTGAGAACGCCCTGCCTCCTCCCTGGCCTTCTCAAAAGCCCCCTACCCAGAACCCAGTGTAAGCCTGACCTCCACAAACTCTTCCTTCTCTCCTCCAACCCGCACTGACCTTGCGCTCTAACTTTATGCCAACATCATTGTTTGGCCTTTGTGTTTGGAAGCACTGGACACCTGGGCTCAGACACTGTCTCTGTCCTTGTCTCACTGAGCCAACTTGAAAGAGCCAGTCTGCTTTTCTAGCTCCCTTCTCTATAAAAGGGAATCCCACCAGTGCTCCCCATGGGACCTTCCTGCCACAACAGTGAGAGGCTCACTGACCTGGGCTTGCCTCTGTGACTTGCTAAGTTCCCCAAGGGCAGGGCCCACAGTGAGAACTTTTATCCTGTCTCTTCTAGCACTGCCAGGCCCCAGGAGAGGACCTAGCCAGGCTAGGCTCGTACAAACAGTCAAAAGCTTGGCTGGGGCTTTGGAGTCAAACAGAAGGACGTTCAAACGCTGCCTTTAGTGCTTCCTAGCTGTACGCCCTTGGGCTGGTTCCTGCCTCTCTGAGCTGCAGTCTGTTCTTAGTAAAATGGAGAGAGACGCAGCTGCTCCGAGGTGCTGGAAGCTCCAGGGGAAGCCAGCAGCCCAGCAGTGCAGCTGGCACACAGCCTCACAGAAGGTCACACTCATGTGCTGATCCGACTCAGCGCTCTTAAAGAGCCCTCACTCTTTGAAGTGTTCAAAACCAGGTTGTGGCCTGTCCTGATTCTAATTGGGACAGGAAGAAGGCTTAGAAGGAGAGTCCTGAGAGACAAGGTTGGGCACTGGGTGGGGAGGCAGAGGAGAGAGGGGAGGATGGACAGCAGCTTGGAAGAACTCACTCCTCGATGAGGACGTTGATGGGGTACAGGACAGGGATGCTGGTGGTGGCCAAGTTGTCCATCAGAAGGTCTGAGTCCTCATTGTCACTGCATTGGGGCAAAGTAGAGGGCAGTGTTAGCAGACGGGTGGGGTCTCAGACAGGGGAAGGGGTGCCGGCGGGGCCTGCTGGGGGTAGGAGATTGCTCACCATTTCACCTTGGCATGCAGCTCCACAGCGTCCCCCCAGGAGCTGTTCTGCAGCGTAAGCATATTAAACATCACCTGGATAACAACCTGGCACAGAAGGGGCACAGAATGGACATGGAAGGGGCCTCGAGGGTAGCCTTTGGGCCCAGCGACCACCGACCAGGGCTCACCATGTGGCACTGGGCTGGGCGTATAGATGAGGAAAGCAAGGCCCCACCTTGCTTTCCTCAGGGTTAAGTCAGGGTTAAGATCACAGCATGAATAACCCAGTCCCGGTTTGTCTGATTCCAAAATCCAGGCCCTCAAACATGACAGGAAATGTGTCCGCTCACATTCCCCCTTACCACTCGCCTGCCCCCTTCCCCAGAGCCAAGCGCTCCCCCTCTCCCCCAGCTTAGAGCTCCTGGGACTGGAGCACTTACCGAGCTACTTGCTTTAAAGATGGGAGAGCTCACGTTGCAAGAGAGCGTTCTGGTCGGTCTGGTTGGAAGCCTGGGCTCCTCAGGGAGCTCCTCGCAGCTCACAGGTACCTGGCTGTGCGGCTGGGAATGAGACAAGAGGAGAGCATGTTGGTGGGCCAGGCCAAGGGCTCCCCTAAAGACCATCAACCCTCAGAGCTCACCTCCTCCAGGGAGGGTGCACTGTCAGAGAGTCAGGGCTAAAGAATAGAGGCAGGAACAGAGAATGTGTGCAAGGATGCTCACTGCAACACTGTAATGGCAAGACACCGGAAGCGATCGAATATTCACCAGTTCAGAGACAGGAATGGCTTAGGAAGCTGTGGTAGAACCAAAGTGGAGAATATTGTCAGACTGTTAAAATACTGCTACGCCTATACATTCAAAAGCCACTTTAAAATTAATTTGGGTGGGTTGGCAGATGGCATGGTGGTTAAGATGCTAGACTTCCACATAGCCGACCATGGGTCAAGTCCCAGACCTGGTGGTTTGCTTTCTCACTTTCCTGCTCTCTCTCTGTCTCTGTCTGGTCAAATTAAATAATAATAATAATAAATTAAATTAAATAATTCTTTAAAAATGTCGGCTAAAAAAATAATGAGCTTGGGGCTGGCAGGTGGCATGGTGGTTAAGGGCACTGGACTCTCACATGGTTGACCATGGTTCAAGTCCCAGACCTGGCAGCTTGCTTTATTCCTCTCTTTCTCTCTCACTCTGTCCCTCTCTGGTCAAATTAAAATAAATAAATAAAGTTAAATGAAATAATTCTTTAAAAAAAAAAATTAGCTTGGGGGCCAGCAGATGGTGTGGTGGTTAAGGCAGCCTTTAGTGTCAAATATCTGTGTGTTGGGTGAAAGGTTGTGGAGGCCCAAGGTTGAGGGCTCATATGAGCAGAGCCCCAATTCGCACAGGGCATCACATGTAAGAATCAATAGCTCATTCACCTTCACACAATCTTGTGAGGGACATATTTTAGCTTCAGATCTGGAAGGGAAGCATTAAGGAAATAGAGGCTCAGGGAGGTTACGTGACTTCCTGAAAGTCTCACAACTTGGTAACATTGAGGATCTGAGGACCAGCAGTTGGCTTAATGGCTATGTCGCTGGACTCTTATGTAGTCTACCCCAGCTCCAGTCCTGGACCCGGTGTCTTAAACTCACACTGGGTGCGTGTGCGTGCGTGCCCAAGATCCCAAGAGGAGAACAGAGGAGAAGGGATTGCGGCGTGGCTATCCCCCCTGGGGGGCGATTTCTCGCTTTCTGTCTCTCTGTCTCTCTCTGTCTTTCTGGCAAGCACATGCGCCCTATAGAAAAAAACCTCTCCAAACAAAGCAAAACAAAACAAAACTTAAAAAAAAAAGAAGAAAGGAAAATCTGAGGCCAGACAGTGGTGCAGCAGTAATGCAATGCTCTGCCAGGCTGACCTAAATGGGAAGGTTCCTGGTTCACATCCAAAGACTTCTCTGAATACTACATACGTTATTTTGCCATAAAAAATTTTTTAAATTTATTTGCTATAGTGGGAACCAGCAGATGGCATAATAGTTACGTTGTTGGACTTATCATCAACCACGGTTCAAGTCCCAGACCTGGCGGCTTGAAACTCATGCCAGGTGCTTGTGTGTGCATGCCCAAAACACCCTATAGCAAAAATCTCTCTCTCTAAAAAAGAAAGTTAAAAAAATTTGTTATAGGAAGCATGTGCTTGCTAGAGAGATGGGGAGGGGGGAGAGTGAGAAAGCAGACCCAGGGAGGATAACATGCTGCAATCCCTTCTCCTCCATCCGCCTCTTAGGATTTTGAGCATGCATGCACATATGCCCGGTATGTTTCTTAAGCTACTAGGCCCAGGGTTTGAACCATATGGTTGGCCATTTGGGATCCAACTGCCTTAGTTTTTAGGCCATGGAGCCAGCCCTCTAGGAATACACACTAGAAATACACACACAGATATACATACATACACATATATATTATACATATATATAATATATATTATATAATACATAGTATATAATATATATTATATAATATATATATAGTAGAGGTTTTTGGCTTAAGGCACATGTACCTGCTGGAGAGAGACAGACACAGTGATAGAGAAAGTGAGAAATCACCCCCCCAGGGAGATGGCCACACAGTGATCCCTTCTCCTCCATTCTCCTCTTGGGATCTTGGGCACACACGCACACGTGCCCAGTGTGAGTTTAAGGCACTGGGCCCAGGACTTAAACCGTGGTTGACTACATGAAGTCCAGCAACATAGCCATTACTCTAACTGCTAGTCCTGTACTTGTTAGAGAGAGACAGACACAGTGATAGGGAAAGTGAGAAATCACCCCCCCAGGGAGATGGCCACACAGTGATCCCTTCTCCTCCATTCTCCTCCTAGAATTTTGGGCACGTACTCACATGTATCTGGCGTGAGTTTTAAGCCACCGGATCTGAGACTCAAACCAAGATCAGCCATGTGGGAGTCCAGCAATATAACCACTACATCATCTGCTGGCCCTGCTCCAGGAATATTTTTAAAGTCCTCTCGTAGTTCAGGGATGATCCTTAAGCTAAGAACCCAGTTGAGACCTTAAGAGACGGCTAAAACCAGCTGCTGCCTGGGTATTCAGGCTGTTCTGGCTCCCCAAGGCGGGGACAAGAGGCTCAGGACAAAGAGCCCGCAGGGGCCGCTGCCTTCCTGCTCACCTTGAGCATCTCCACTTTGCGGAAGGAGAGGCCATGGGGGAAGCTCAGTTCCAGGTGGACCCAGTAAGCATCTTCTCCCACGTTGCTCAGGGTCAAGTCCACAGAGAGGCTGGCAGACGGGGTCAGATAGAGAACTCTGGATCTAGGGGGAAAGATGAAGGAAAAGTTAAGGGATCAAGATAAAGGACGTGGGATCAGAGTGGGGAATTTCAGAACTAAGAGATTTGGTAGGTCAGGGAAAAAACACACACACACACACACACCAACTGAGGACTGAAGCTGATCACCTTTCCTTTAAACAGAAAACTTTTAAATGAAAGCACCCCTCTGATGGGGATGGTCATTCTATAATCCCTCCTCCTCCATTTCTCCCTCGCTTTGAGATTTGGGGCACAGACGCACACATGCCCAGCCTGCTTCGAGTGCTGGGGCTGGTACTCCAAGGGCGTGGTCAGCCATGTGGGATCCAGCTGCCTTAACATCAGGCCACCAGCAGGCCCGACCACATTTCTTTGTTCTAAATTTTTCCTAAAAGGCCTGGAGAGAGTTTGCCATCTAACAGGCAGTGAATGTTGCTCCAGCAGGCCTCGTCGGCCCAGCAGCTGTGACCTGATCGCCCTACAGCCTGATCTGCTACAGGATCACGTGACGGATAGCAACGCTTTCTTCTCTCTCTTAATCGCAGGCATTTTTTTCTGCTGACTCTGAGTCTTTTTGAGACAAGGACTTGTATTTTCACCAATTACTAAACTAAAAGTTTTAAATGCTTCTATAATCTATAAGCCTCAGCTGCTAGATGTTCTGCCTTTTTGGGCCAGGCCAGTATGAAAATGGCATTGACTGACAGTTTGGCTTCTATCTCCTGCTCTCAGAAATAAAAGAACTGTTGTATCAAAGCCCCCAGCCCCATCCCAGAACACCTCCTGAGGGATACCGGAGATTATGTTCGCTGGCCGTAGTCACTTATACTTTTGCTGTAAATAAACCTTTTTTTTTTTTTTAAAGGTTTTTGTCATAGGGCACGTGTGCTGCCTGGAGAGAGACAGAGACAGTAAGAGAGAAAGTGGTATTTCACCCGCCAGGGAGGATGGCCATGTCACAATCCTTTCTCCAGTCTCCTTTTGGGATTTTAGGCACGCATGCACACATGCCGGGTGTGATTTTCAAGCTGCCTGGCCCAGGACTCGAACCATGGATGGCTATGTGGGAATCCAGCTCCTTAATCACCAAGCCACTGGCTGGTCCTTTAAATAAACTTTTAAAAATATTTGTGTAAAGTTTGGTTATTTCTCAGGCCAGCCTGTGGTATGGTGGCTGAGGCAGTGAATCCCACAAGGCTGACTGTACGGTTCAAGCCTAGGACTCAGCAGCTTGAGAGACATGCCAGACATGTGTGCATGCATGCCCAAGAGCCCGAAAGGAGGGAGAAACGGGGGAGAGGGGATTGTGGCGTGACCATCGCCCACGAGGCTTTCTCTTCCTCTCTCCGATAAGCATGCATGCCCTCTGGAGCAGGGGGAGGTTTGGTTCTTTCTTTCTTTCTTTTTTCTTTTTCTTAAGAATTCTTTTATTTAACTTTATTTATTTGTTCACTTGTTTTATTTTAATTTGACTGGGGGTCGAGGGGAGAGAGAGAGAAAGAAAGTGAGAAAGCAAACTGCCAGGTTCGGGATTCAAACTACTATCAGCCATGTGGGAGTCCAACATCCTCAATCATCGTGCCACCTGCTGGCCCCGAAGTCTGGTTATTTCTGTTAAACTTCTATGCTCAGCTCTGGCTTTAAATTTTGCCATCTCATCTCATCCTACCGAAGTTCCTGGGACTTGCATTTCTCAGACGAGGTCCCTAGAGGGGAAGGATTGGTTCCAGATCCCCAGATGACACATCTGGTAAGTGGAGAGGGTGTCTTTTGATTCTAAGTCCAGCAATCTTTCCAGCACACTCGAGCTGCCTCAGTAGAATAGAACAGAATGGGAGGGCTGGTGGGGGCCCGGGGACCAGTGTGAAGCCTCACAGACCTTGCAGGGGAGAAGGACAACCTCAAGCTTGCCTCGCATTTCTTGTCTTCCCCACAGTTCTTCTCAAAAGGGACCTGAAAAGCCAAGAAGAAAAGACTAGGAGGTTCAGGGCCCCAAACCCAGGAGGGTACCTGACTCCAGTTCTGTCTGTCTGCCCCTCCTCTATTACCTCCTTGGTCTCTGAATGTGGCGAGGGTCTCAGGATGGGTCGCAGGTTCCTGCCCCGTTGAGCATGGAGGAGTGGAGGGCCCTGGAGACAGCAGAGGTTAGTTGATGGAGCAGAATGTACAGAGCAGGGCTGAAAGGGCTCGAGACTTGGGGCTCAGCTGATATGGCTGTGATCTGTCCCTCCAAGGAGCCGACTGCCTTCCCAGGGCTGGCTCCTCCCGCCTGCCTCTGCCCATGACCAACTGCTATGTGGCAGCTCAAGGGAGACTTAGGTGTGGGGTTCCCCATTTCTTCCCTGGACAGAATCTGGGGGTTCCTCCCTTGGCAGAAATCCCTGGCTGCATAGCCTGTATACTCAGCTGCCTGTGAACAGCTCTAAACTGTGGTTCTCCTCTCCATCTCCCCCAAGAACAGCTCACCATCTTTTATCAGATCAAGGCCAATTTTTTCAACATTCTTTGAGCTTCTATCTGGGTCAGACCCCATGCTGGGCATTGGGAATACACCGAGAACAATTTGATATACTTCCAGCCCTCCCGATGTGGTGGGAGAACACTGTGGCATTTTCAACACAAAGGCTCAAGCATTATGACAAGACTAGTACAGGGATCTTCAGAGGATGAGGGAGGGCCTTCTAGTCCAGGGCTGGAGATCGAGGAAGCTTCCAAAATGAAGGGCATCCCAATTGAAATGGAAAGAATGAGGAGAAGGGAGCCAGGTGACGAGAATGGAGAGGGAAGAAAGAACAGTCTATACAAAGGCCCAGAGGCAAGAGAGAGTTTGTGCCTTGTTCAAGATGCAGAAAAATGCTCAGCTGGGCTGGAGTTCTGTGCATGGGAAAGGACAAGGAGGCAGAAGCCACTGAGCCTTGCTGGCTGTGGTAAGGAGCTGGGGCTATTCTGAGGGTAATGGGGCCCTGGAAGGATTCTAGAAAGACTCTATCCTCCTCCACCTCCAGGCCGCCTGTCAAGCAGACTTCAAATACTTCTTTGAGGAGCTGGGATCCGGTGCCTCTGATGACCACTCAACACCCACCTTCAACATTCATACACAGTCTCCCACCACACATTGGACCACAGCCAGGGCCCAACGGCCATCCAGGGACTTAACCTTGCTCAACCTTCTTTCTGCCAAAAGCTAAGCCTATCTCCCCATTCTTTTTGAACTTACCACCATATTTTTCCTCTTCTCTCCCCCTACCCAAAGAATACTCATGTTCCCCCCATTTTTACATAATCATAGCATTTTTTACATAATCATTGGCTTTGGGGAGAGCCAATGACATGCCCCCAGCTGAATATCCATGAATGAGCAGACTCATCAAGGCACCTTGTCCTTTGACCAACAAAGCACAGGCCTAGGCCTATAGAGAAACCTTCTAAAGTTACCTCCCTGGAACTTGTACCTTGAATAGTGTTAAAAGCCTGATGAGGTCAGGAGTGGATACACAGCAGGGACCTAGGACAGATTCACAAAGGGGCCCTGAAGAGTTCCTCCAAAGAGCACCTTCTCTGAGAGGCCCCACAGTCACCACCCTGGTTCTCCTTCCTCTCAAACTTTGTTTTCAAATTCATCTTAAATACAAACTCCCTTGAATTCTCTTCTTGCTTAACTAAGCCATAGTTTGTCTCTGTTGCTTACCCTCAAAGACTCCTACATAAAATAAATACTTCTTGCTAAATGAAATTTCCATTTACCCCTCTTCTCCATCAGTTCCTCCAGTTAATCTCTTCTTACCATGCCTTGGTCCCTTGGTGTTCCTTCTTCCTCCCAAAGAGCAAAATTCAGGGAGACATTGATGGGGGAGATAAGGTCTTGAATGCATACCTGAGGCAAGAAGAAGAACACAACCTATGTCATGAGTCTAACCTTTATCATGCATCGAACTCGGTATATACCTTGTCTGCTTTTTTTTTTTTTTTTTTTTGCCATACAGCGTATGCACTTACTAGAGAGAGACAGTGAGAGAGAAAGTGAGAAATCACCCGAGGGGGGATGGCCATGCTGCAATCCCTCCACCTATAGTTTCCTCTTGGGATTTTGGGCATGCACACACATGTGCCTGGCATGATTTTCAAGCATTTGGGTCTGGGACTCTAACAGTGGTCAGCCATGTAGGAGTCCAGTGCCTTAACCAGTACACCACCTGCTGATTCCCCTTGTCTGCATTTTACAAAGGATGCAGTTTTAATAGTTAGTTGTCTAAGACTTTACCAGTAGTAGAAATCCATTTACCACATATCAGGTGTTTATAATATGCCCACAGGTACTTCTCAGCACAAGTATCATTCCTCAGCCCAATTCCACTCTAAAAAAAAAGGAACCCAAACAGAAGCCTCCACATCTTTGTCAAACCGCTGTAGGTAGCCATTATTCAGGTTTGGGCAAAGAAATAATATTCTAGAATAACTACGACCTCCTATTAATAGTTCTAGACTATCAGTTTCTTAAAAACAGAGATAAGTCTTAATCTTCTGTGTTTTTTTTTACTTTTTTTTTTTTTTTTGCTATAGGGCACATGCGCTCGCCAGACAGACAGAGACACAGAGACAGAAAGCGAGAAATCACTCCCCAGGGGGGATGGTCACGCCACAATCCCTTCTCCTCCATTCTCCTCTCGGGATCTTGGGCACACACGGACACACGCCCGGCGTGAGTTCTAAGCCACCGGGTCCAGGATGTGAACCGCAGTCGACTACGTGGGAATCCAGCGACAGCCATTACACTAACTGCTGGTTCCCTTAATCTTCTGTTATCACCAGTGCCTGACACTGCCATTTAGCTTTTAAAAATTTTTTTATTTTATTTTATTTAACTTTATTTAATTTCACCATAGGACACATGTACTCACTGGGGAGAGACAGAGAGAGAGGGAGAGAGTGGGAAAGTGGGGAACCTGCCATGCCACAATCCCTTCTTCTCCATTCTCCTCTGGGGATTTTGGACATGTACATGTTCTTTCAAGATGCATACTGCACAGTAAGCCATGTAGGATCTAGTCACCTTAACCACCAGGCTACTGGTTGACCTGGACACTGATACTTTGTAGGCACTCAAATTGCATTTCATCTAAAATTTCTACTTAAATATAGGTATTATTAATCCCCACATTAACAAGACAGAAATGAGTCCTGAAAAGGCAACAAGTGACCGGGCACTGCTGCGTGATGCTGGAGCCATACTGGAGGCTCCAGGTTTGGACCATGGGCCAGCCTGAACACTGCAGGCAAACCCATGGGTGTGCCTGTGATTCTGGCTGGTGGGAAGGCTGGGAGGATTGCAGTGTGGTGAGACCTGTCGAGGGTCTCTGTTTCTTTCCTTCTCTCTCTCTGCCTGCCTTTCTGTCTCATGGAAGAAATAAACTTAAAAACTAAAAATTAAATGATTATGATCTGGGTAGCAGCATTAACATATAACATACGAAAAGAGTAGGAAGGAAATGGTTGCAGCTTGCCATTGCAATCATGTTAAAAATGCTCATGTAGGGACCAGCAGTTGGACCAGCATAATGGCTATGTCACTGGACTCCCATGTAGTCGACCACAGTTTGAGTCCCGGACCCGGTGGCTTAAACTCAACACTGGGCGCGTGTGCATGCATGCCCAAGATCCTGAGAGGAGAATGGAGAAGGGATTATGGTATGGCTATCTCCCCTGGGGGGTGATTTCTCGCGGGGTGATTTCTCACTTTCTGTCTCTCTGTCTCTCTCTGTCTTTCTGGTGAGCGCACGCACCCTATAGCAAAAACTTCTCCAAGGGAAAAAAAAATGCTTATGTAAATACATTTGGACCAGAAGAAAATATACTATCTGCATAGGAAATGGTGGCACAGAGATCGGGGTCACCCAGCTGGGCAGACTGGACAGCCTGAGCCAGCACCTGGAGCTGCCTCTCATCGTGGCCAGCTTGCCCGCCCCTTCCCAGAGTGCTGGCGCTGGCTTCCTTACCGGGAAGTGAAACCAGAACTGAGAGCAGGACTTGGCTGCCGTGACAGCCCGGTTCCCGCTGAGCTCACTTCTCCCGCCTGGGAACAAGCCCCGGCTTCTGGTCCGAAGGCCGTCCAGCTGCAGAGTGTAACTGAGGTTGGCAACCAGGAGACCTGGGCAGGGTGAAAAAGGCAGTTGCTGAATGGTGAAGAGTCCTAGGCTGTGAGCCAGCCTGTGGGGTGACAGCTGCTCTGGGGCAGGACAGCACTGACCTTGGAGGTGAGGGATGAGGGGCTGGACCTGGAAACAGACTGTGACGTTCACACCTTCCTTCTTCTTGGTGCTGGTTGAGTAGGAGCACTCCACTTCATGGACGGGGATCTCGGCTGGGGAGAAGGTCATCTCAGTGACTATGTCCACCACGGGCCGGGAGCTGCAGGGCAGAGGCAACCAAATCTCCCTTTGACCTCAGCTGCACATCCCCATCAGACCTGGGGCTCCTTCTGTCAGAATTCAGAGGACTCTTGGGGATGGCAGGTGGCATGGTGGCTGGGGACGCAGGACTCCTGCATGGCTGACGATGATTTGGGTCCTGGACCTGGCAGCTTGCTTTCTCACTTTCCCTCTCTTTCTCTCTCTCTATCTTGTTCTTTCTCTCTCTGGTCCAATTTAAAATCACAAATAAGTAAATAAAATAAAATAAAAATAATTCTTTTTAAAAATTATTTTATTTCACCTTTATTTAGTCATTCATTTATTTAGTTCAATTTTACCAGAGAAGGATAGTAGTCTGGGACTTGAACCATAGTTGGCCATATGGGAATCCAGCACCCTTAGCCACCAAGCCACCTGCTGGGCCCAAATAAAAATAATTCTTAAAAAAAAAAAAAAAAGCATTGGGACCAGCAGTCAGCATATTGGCTATGTTGCTGGACCCCCATGTAGTCCACCACAGTTCAAGTCCCGGACTCAGTGACTTGAGTCCCAGACCCAGTGGCTTAAACTCACACCGGGTGCGTGTGCATGCGTGCCCAAGATCCCTAGAGGAGAACGGAGGAGAAGGGATTGCGGCGTGGCCTTCCCCCTGGGAGGTGAGTTCTTGCTTTCTGTCTCTCTGTCTCTCTTTGTCTTTCTGGCAAACGCACGTACCCTATAGCAAAAACCTCTTCCCCCCCCCCAAAAAAAAAAAGCATTCAGAGGACCCTCCTTTCCTTTTTATTTATTTATTTTATTTTATTATTTTATTTGTTGGAGAGGTTTTTGCTATAGGACATGTGCACTTGCAAGAAAGACAGAGAGAGACAGAAAGCAACAAATCACCCCCCAAGGGGGATGGCCACACTACAATCCCTTCTCCTCCATTCTCCTCTTGGGATCTTGGGCACGCATGCACACGCACCTGGCATGAGTTTAAGCCACTGGGTCCGAGACTCGAACCACGGTCAACTACATGGGAGTCCAGTGACATAGCCATTACACCAACTGCTGGTCCCTCCTTTTTATTTTTTAGGGTTTTTTGACATAAGGCACATGTGCTTACCGGAGGGTGTGTGTGTGTGTGTGTGTGTTGTGTGAGAGAGAGAGAGAGAGAGAGGGAGACAAAGACAGAAACCGAGACAGTGAGTAGGAAAGCAAGAAATCACACCCGGGGGAACCAGCAGTTAGCGTAATGGCTATGTTGCTGGACTCCCACGCAGTCGACCGTGGTTCGTGTCCTGGACCCGGTGGCTTAAAACTCACGCCAGGCGCGTGTGCGTGCGTGCCCAGGATCCCGAGAGGAGAATGGAGGAGAAGGGATTGCGGTGTGACCATCCCCCCTGGGGGGTGATTTCTCGCTTTCTGTCTCTATGTCTCTCTCTGTCTGTCTGGCGAGCGGACGCGCCCTATAGTGAAAATCTCTCCAAAAAAAAAAAAAGAAATCACACCCGGGGGTGATGGTCACACCACAATCCCTTCTTCTCCACGCTCCTAAGATCTTGGGCAAGCATGCACACACACCTGGCATGATTTTCAAGGCCCCAAGTCCAGGACTTGAATCACAGGTGGCCATGTGGGAGTCCAGTGATAGAACCACTACATCATTTGCTGGCCCCGGGTCCTCCTTTCCTAAAGCAGACCTCAATGGCACTATCTCCTCTCAATTAGAATAACAGTAATCAATTAACTAGGGCTCCCCAGTTCATACTAGCAGCCTTTAGATCTGTTTTCCATACAGAAGAGTGAACTTTTAAAAATGAAATCAGGAATCTGAAGATGGCATAATGGTTATGTCACTGGACTCTCACATGGCCAACCACAGTTCGAGTCTCAGACCCAGTGGCTTAAGACTCATACTGGGTGCATGCATGCGTGCCAAAAATCCTGAGAGGAGAATGGAGAAGGGATTGTGGTGTGGACATCCCTCCTGTGGAGTGATTTCTCTTTCTGTCTCTCTGTCTTTCCAGCAAGAGCACATGACCTATAGCCACCCCCCAAAAAAACAGAAATCACCGGCCAGCAGGTGGTTAAGGCACTGGATCCCACATGGCCAACTATGTGGTTTGAGTCATGGACTCGGGGGCTCTGAAAAATGCCAGGCCCATGTGTATACATGCTTAAAATTCTAGGAAGAAAATGGAGGAGAAGGGACTCCAGCATGACCATCCCCTCTGGAGGAGGATTGCTGATTTCTCTTTCTCTCTGTCTCTCTCTCTCTGGTGACTGTATGACCAAAAAAAAAAAAAGAAGAAGAAGAAACTTAAAAAAATATTATTGAGTTACTTCTACGCTTATAAACCCTTAAGTAATATTCAGAATAAAAATCAAACTTAAAATGTTCAGGGGACCAGCAGTTAGCATAATGGCTATGTCGCTGGACTCCCATGTAGTCGACTGCAGTTCAAGTCCCGGACCCGGCTGCTTAAAGTCACGCCTGGTGCGTGTGCATGCATGCCTGAGATCCCAAGAGGAGAATGGAGGAGAAGGGATTGCAGTGTGACCATCCCCCCTGGGGAGTGATTTCTCGCTTTCTATCTCTCTGTCTCTCTCTGCCTTTCTGGAGAGCGCACACGCCATATAGCGAAAACAGCGAAAACTTCTCAAAAAAAAAAAAAACTTAAAATGTTCAATTATTGGGACTGACAGGTGGCATGGTGGTTAAAGGTGTTGGATTTCCACATGGCCGACCACAGTTTGAGTCCTGGACCTGGCGACTTGCTTTCTCGCTTTCCCTTTCTCTTTCTCTCTCTCTGATCAAATTTAAAAATAATAACAGGGACCAGCAGTTGGCGTAAAGGCTATGTCGCTGGACTCCCATGTAGGTGGATCTCAGTTCAAGTCCTGGACCTGGTGGCTTAAACACATGCCGGGCACGTGTGCGTGTGTGCCCAAGATCCTGAGAGGAGAATGGAAAAGAAGGGATTGCAGCATGGCCATCCTCCTGGGGGTGATTTCTTGCTTTCTGTCTCTCTGTCTCTGCCTTTCTGGTGAATGCATGCGCCCTGTAGCAAAAACTTCTCCAAAACACACACACAGACACAGACACACACACACAAATGGAATTAAATAAATAAGTTATTATTTTTTAAAAAGTATTCAATTATTAATTATTTTTAAAGTTTACTTATTTCATCAGAGAGAAAAATCCCAAGGGTCATTTTTTTAACAATTATTTTATTTAACTTTATTTATTATTATTATCATTATTATTTTCCAGTTTGATCAGAGAGAGACAGAGAGAGAGAGAGAGGAAGTGAGAAAGCAAACCACCAGGTCTGAGACTTGAACCGTGGTTGGCCATGTGGGAGTCCAGAGCCTTTAACCACCATGCCACTTCCTGGCCCCCCAAGGGTCTTTTTTAAAAGAATCATTTACTTATTTAATTCCATTTGTTGTTGTTGTTATTGCTATTATTATTCATTTGACCAGAGAGAGGGGAAGGGGAAGAGAGAAAGCAAGCCACCAGGCCTAGAACTTGAACCGTGATCGGCCACGTGGGAATCCAGTGTCTTTAACCACCATGCCACCTGCCGGCCCCCAATAGGGTCTTGCCATGCCATGATCCCCCAAAACTCTAGTTAGCCAGGATCATGGGCACACCCAGCATGGTCAGGTGTCAGATAAGCTTGGGTTCAGATCCCAGTTCTGACCCTGAATGGCAGTTGATTAACCTGGAGTAAGACATGAAGCCTCTGTAAAAAAGGAGCCTATCTCCCAGGCCGGGGAGAAGACCAAGTATGCTAATGCTGCAGAGTGCTCAGAACCTAGCCTTGGTGATACAGGTGTAGGCATACCGAACTGTAGTGCTGGAAGCCACATGGCCGACCTTGGGTCTGATTCCTTGGCTGGCACATACGCATGCCCTGATGAGCTGCAGAGCTGGTAGAAGGGGTTATGGTGCAGTAAGACCCTATCCAGGATGCTTCTCTCTCTCTTCTGCCGCTAGCTCACTCTCTCATACACACTATCTATGATGAATAAAATAAGTACTTTTTTTTTTTTTTTTTTTTTTTAAAAAAAACATTCTTTTTTTTTTTTTTTTTTTTTTTTAAATAAAGCATCTATCCCGTGCCCAGTCTACAGAGACTGTTCAAAGAATGAGGGCTGAAACTGCTGGGTAGGGCTCAGGGGTTTGTCTTACCTCAGCAGGATCACTTGGCCCTCAGCACCCACAGCCACATCTGCCAGGCCATCCCCTCCAAGGTCCTTCACCCCGTGGATGGAGCGTCCAAACCACCGAATTCCTGAGGACACCCGGGACCCCTCTATTCGCTGGGAGCAAAAGAGAAGTTCATGCTAAGCTGGGAGGAGGACAGGTTGCAGGGTGGGGACGGTCGGGCTGGGAAGTGGGTCTGGGCTTGGACATCTCAAGGTGCCTGGGAGTGGGGTTTGATTGGCAGGCAGGGTGCCTCACCTCACCTGGCCGGGGGCTGAGCCCACCCAGCCGCCCGTTGAAGATGTACACAGCCCCCTGCTCCTCCAGAGGGGCACCCACAGCCACGTCCATCAGCCTGTCCCCGTTGATGTCTGTCAGAGCAGCGATCACCGCTCCAAACCGCCCCAGGGGGTAGCCGGCATCCCCCTGAAGTTCTGAGACCACTTCGAACCCCAGCTGGAAGGAGCAGGGGGACAGGTCACAACTCCGTCACTTAGCAAGCTCTCCCAGAGGCAGCATTGTAAAGAGCAATTTCATGAAGAACGCGACAGAAATGCGAGATGTGGTCCCTACCCAATAGGAATGGCGCTCAGACTAACCTGAGCTCAAGAGTCAGCACTGCCTCTTCCTACCTGTGTGACTTTGTGGCTTTGCAAAGTTACCTAGCCCTGCCGAGCCTCGGCAAGGTCCTATATGTGAGCTATATGTCCCACATGTAAGATACAGCTGAGGTATTTCAGAAGGTGATCAGGAGTGTCCAATGGGTCATGTATGTAGAAAGTCTGACCCTGAGCCGTGCACACAGTCTACCCGCAATGAGTACTGGCTATAGTTCTCTGTTCTAAAGGCTTGATTAGCAGATGCTCACACAGGAAAGCCCTTCAGAAGAACTGCAGCCTGAAAATCTGTTTCTCCCCTTCACCGTTAGCCCCGTGTCCTGATGCCCACCTGTTTTCTCTGGTAGATAAACACCCGTCCTCCTCTCTGCTCCCCATAGAACAGGGGGGCTCCAATCAGCAGCAGCTCTGTCTCCCCATCCTGGTCCATGTCGATACCACACAACTCACCACCAAAATAAGAGCCGACCTGCAAGGAGACAAGCACATGAGGACTACTGGGAATGGCAGGAACCTCCCTCCCCTCAGCCACACCATGTCCATCTTATTCCAAAGCCTCCACTGCAGGTTCGAGTCCTGTACGCAGGGGCTCCTGTAGCCTACTGGTTAAAGGGGCCAGATCCCACATCACCAACCACGGTTCAAATCACAGCCCTGAAAAACATGCCAGGTGCGTGTGTGGGCCTGCCCTAAATCCCAACAGGATGGAGAAATGGAGAAGGGACTGGGGTGTGAACAGGGAGCAGTTGGAGAGAAATACTTTTTCCTCTTTCTCTGTTTTTGTCTGTTTCTGACAGTGCACATGCCCTCTGCCAACTAACAAAAACAAATCCTGGACCCATCTGAGAACCTCTATGACTAAGGCAAGCTGGGCTCTTTGAGGTTCAGTTTCTTAAACTGGAGAATGGAGATGACAAGGCCGCCATCAGAGGGTTTTGTGAGGAACGACTGACAGTGTCTGGCACAGGCCTGCCAGCCAATTAGGGGATGCATGTGCACAGGACAACAGGGGCCTAGCTCCGGGCACACTAGCTCTGTTCTGCAGGTGCCCCTTGGCTGTGCTCACCTGGCTCCCATCTATTTCCTGGACCTGGCTCCAGTGTCCTTCACCCTGTGGTTCCCGGAACAGCAGTACCCGCCCTATATGCTGGTATCGGGGGGCTCCAACTGCCAGCAGTGATGTGGGCCCCTGGGATGGCAGCCAGGTCATTGTGTAACCTGAGGAATGCAAGCACGGCCCTTGGAGTTAGAAACACAAAGGATGGGGGACCAGCAGGAGGCATGGTGGTTAAGGTACTGGACACTCCCACATGGCTGACCATAGTTCAAGTCCTGGACCTGGTGGCTTGCGTTCTCACTTTCTCTCTCTCTTCATCTCTTTCTCTGTCTTTCTCTGGTCAAATTAAAATAAACAGATGAATAAATAAATTAAATCAATAATTCTTAAAAAGAAAGAAAGAAAGAAAGAAAGAAAGACAGACAGAAAGAAAGACAGACAGAAAGAAAGACAGACAGACAGACAAAGGATGCTGGAAAAAGGTCCACCCAGTGGGCCAGGAGTCACATGTGCTGGTTAAGGAGGTTGGATCCCACATGGCTGACTGCACAAGGCTGGAAGCTTAAAAAGCATGCTGGCATGTGTGCGTGCATGCCCAAAGTACTGAAAGAAGGATGGAGAAAGGATTGTGATGTGACCATTCTCCCTCGGGGGTGCTTTCTCATTTTCCCTCTCTCTCTGTCTGTCTCCAGCAAACATATTGACCTCATAACAAAAACTGAAAAAAGAAGAAGAAAAGGCAACACCCAGAAGTGAGAAGTCCTGGGAAATTGTTAATGGGAAGATCCTGGAAACAGCCGGATGACCTTCACTTGATGAAAGTGAGCACATGCCAGTCCTGCCATTTCATCCCAGGGCTGCATTTCTTTTTTTTTTTTTTTTTTTGGAGAGGTTTTCGCTATAGGGTGTGAGCACTCACCAGACAGACAGAGAGAGACAGAGAGACAGAAAGTGAGAAATCCCCCCCCAGGAGGGGATGGTCATGCCGCAATCCCTTCTCCTCCATTCTCCTCTTGAGATCTTGGGCATGCACGCCCACCCCCCCCGGCATGAGTTTAAGCCACTGGGTCCGGGACACGAACCGCAGTCGACTACGGGGGAGTTCAGCGACATAGCCATTACACTAACTGCTGGTCCCAGGGCTGCATTTCTTAAACTGTGGACAACATGCATAGCTGGGATGCCACAGGGGAATCATGGCCCATCTTCTGAGGCTTGGTTTATCTGAGGACTGGTAAGGGAGACCATGCTCCTTTCTCCTCCTCCTCCTTCTTTGTTAATTATAAAATATAACTCGAGGGCCAGCTCCATGGCACAATAGCAATGCGCAGCTCAGGAGAAGCTGGATCCCACATGGCAACAAGTTTGAATCCCTGGCTTGATCAGCCTGAAATCTGACAGAACCAGAACAGAGGACTGAAGTAAGGAATCATGCATTACCAGATCCCATGTAGGCTGCTCCCCTCTCTGTCTCTCTCGCTAACTCTCACATGTGCATGTATGTACTCTAACATAAATAAAGAAAACAAATAATAAAACAGGATATATTAGTGAGAAGAATGTGAGGTTGGCATGAACATTAAAAATAAAACAGTAGACTTGCCCATGCAAGTGAGCAAGTCTACTGAGCTCCTGGTCTACTGAGCTCCTGGGTGGCTCCCGGGGAGTGAGGACTGCTAAAGAAATTGCAGCATGCACACCACAGAATCGAATCATGGACATTTGGAGAATAAAGACTCCCATGCATCTACAATTTAGCAGCCTTTTTATGCAATGACAGAAATTCCAGAAAAAGACTCTACACCAGAAGATACAGTAAATCAACAATGGAAACCAGAACTCCAACAGGAGAATCATGAACAGATACTCACTGACTCTAATAGTAGTGCACCTAAAGAAACTAAGGAGGGACCAGCAGTTAGCGTAATGGCTATGTCGCTGGACTCCCATGTAGTCAACCGCGGTTCAAGTCCCGGACCTGGTGGCTTAAAACTCATGCCGGGCATGTGTGCGTGTGTGCCCAAGATCCCAAGAAGAAAAAGAAGTAGAAGGGATTGCGGCGTGGCCATCCCCCTGGGGGATGATTTCTCACTTTCTGTCTGTCTATCTTGCGAGCGCATGTGCCCTATAGCAAAAACCTCCCCCCCTCAAAAAAAAAAACAAAAAAAAAAAACCTAAGGAAACTGGCCTGTCAAAAACAGAGGAAATAAAATCACAGGTGGAAAAGAGGATACGTATTTCTTGTCCTTCACGAGGATCACTGAATGAAGTCATTTAAGTAGTATGTGAAGTGAGAAATGTAAATGGAGAGAAAATGAGAAATATATTTGATGAATACTAAAACACAAGGCAAGAAAACCACTGCTTAATCTGTATATTCCAGATCAACTCTGTTACAAGCAATATTGGACAAAGAGGAAATATTTTCTTGAATCTTTCAAAACCAAAACCAAAATATTGCTTAAGAGATCTATATTTTGGGCCAGCAGGTGGTGAGGTGATTAGGGTGTTGGACTCCCACATGGCTGACCACAGTGAGGAGTCCCAGACCTGGTGGCTTGTTTTCTCACTTTCCCTTTCTCTCTCTCTCTGTCTCTCTCTGGTGAACACATGTGCCCTATAGCAAATTTTAAAATAATAATAATAAATAAAAATTAATTAATAAATAGTTTTTAAAAAGAGACCTTTATTTTAACTTCTTATATGCCTTTATGTAAAGCTTTTAGGATTAGAAGCAACATTGAGTAAAGATCTTTATGTAAAACCTACTTGTGGCCATGTGGGAGTCTAGCGCCTTAACCACTTTGCCCCCTGTGACCCCCATGCTGGCTGCTTAATTGCTTTCACTATGGTTTTGAAAGTCACTCTGAGCGACTCTCTGGCCTCTGAAACAGAAGACTCCAGCAGAAAAGAGGCGTACTCACCCAAATATCCCCCTGTCTCTTCTTCAGTTAGTGGTTCGTTCCCAACAAACGTGTCATCCTGCAGGTCTGCCTTCAAGTCTAGAAAGCCGCCAGCCCAGTCCTGGGCTCCAACTGCCCCCACGACAGCATGGCCCTGCCCAGGGAAGATGTGTGTGGTCAGCCACCATACCGAGTCAGCAGCATCCCTGTGACATCCCTCAGTCCATTGCTCCAGGCCCACCACGCACCCTGCTGAGGTCAGCGCTGATCCCACTGGAGGACAGTTCCATATTGAAGGATGTCAGGTCCTTTTTGTTTGTGCCTGAGGGACGAGAGAGAGGAGAACAGGCCAAGACTCAAGAAGCAGTAAAAGTAGGGACCAGCAGTTAGCGTAATGGCTATGTGGCTGGACTCAAAAAAAAAGAATTCTGTGAGCCACACTGGGTTATAGAAATTTTATACCATTGTTTGTACATGATATTAGAGTCATTCTGGGCTGAACTGTGAACATTTTGCCAAAGAATTGTTCTATATCCTTGTTGTGGTTTTACATCAGCTGCCATTTTGCTGCCAGAACCCTAGAGATCTAAACAGACAATTACGGGATCAACAGTTAGTGTAATGACTATGTCACTGGACTCCCACGTAGTCGACCACGGTTCGAGTCCTGGACACAGTGGCTTAAACTCACGCCAGGCGCGTGTGCGTGTGTGCCCAAGATTCCGAGAGGAGAATGGTGGAAGGACTGTGGGGTGTCCATGCCCATGAGGGGTGTTGTCTCACTTTCCCTCTCTCTGTTCAGCCAGCACATACACCCTCTAGCAAAATTAGAGAACAAAAGACAGAAAATGAATACCGCAGTTAAACCTTACATCTCTGTGAGAGGGTAGCATCCCATCGTTTAACAGAACGAGGCTTAGAGAGGGAAGTGTTTTGGCTGAGGTCACTCAGCAAGTAAGAAGCAGAGTGGATTTCAGAGCGTCTGCCTGGTTCCACCGTATGTACCGCATCGATTCTTCAACTGAACTGAACACGAGGCTGTGTTCCAGCGAAGGCGACACCCTGCGGGAACCATGTATCTTTCAGCAGTTGAGGCTTTCTGGGGAAATTCTTTTCCATAACCAGCCCTCCAAATGGTGACTACAATGAAAACCTTCTCCTATTCCATGCCAACAGGCCTGTGGACTCCTTGCACTTGGCCCCACCAGCTTGCCCATCTTAAGTAATTTGGGGCCTAAGATAAATGAAAACGAGAGAATTGAGCAGGTGGAAGAAAGGAGAGCATCCTGCAGGGCTTAGCTGACACCGGTAAGATATCGATCAGTCCATGGCCCCACGTGGGTTAAGCTGAGTTCCAAAAGGCAGATGGAATTTCAGAGAAAAATATCAGATACTGATCCTAAATCACTCTCTTCTGAATTCCACCTGAAGGTTTTTGGGAGAGCCCTTAGCAAGGTGTCACATGTCAGTGAGTGCTCTCAATTATTATTCAATATGTGCTAACCTTTTTAAAATTATTATTATTATTATTATTTAAAGTTTTTGCCATAAAATGTAGGGCACTCACCAGAGAGGAACAGAAAAAGAGAGAAAGTGAGAAATCACCTCCCTCCTCCCAGGAGGGATAGCCACGCCACAATCCTTTCTCCCCCATTCCCGTCTTGGGATTTTGAGCATGCATGCACATGTACCTGGTGTATTTTTCAAGATACCAGGTCTGGGACTCAAACTGCAGTTGGCCATGTAGGATCCAGCACCTTAAGCACCATGCCACATGCTGGCCTGGTGTGTGCTAATCTAATGGCCCAGGAGAGTTTCTGGGTGCAGCCCCCAGAACCTCCTCCCTGGTCTGACACTCACCCTCGATGGCGTAGATCTTCTTTTGCAGGTCAGTGAAAAGGTCCTTCAGCTTTTCAAATGTGTCCAGAATCTTCACAAACTCCTTTGTGGGTTTTGAGGCAAATTCGTGGAGTGTCTCCTGACTTTTCTTGGTCTTAAAATACTTCCCAACCTGTGAGGGAGTGAAAAGTGAAGAGCTGGCATGCCCCCAAATCTCAGATCAGTTTTCTATGATTATTTTTTACTTTTTTTAAGAGAGAGATATTTGCTACAGGGCACATGCACTCACCAGAGAGACAGAGAGAGACCAAGAGACAGAAAGCAAGAAATCACCCCCTAGGAGGGATGGCCGTGCCACAATCCCTTCTCTTGGGATTTTGGGCATGCATACACACACATGCATGGTGTGAGTTTTAAGCTGCCCAGTCTCGGACTCAAGCCACGATCGACTATGTGGGAGTCCAGCCACGGAACCATTACACCACCCGCTGGTTCCAGCTTTCTATTATTTTCACATGATCCTGGCCCCAGGGGGAAAGGGGACCGGGGCTCAGGACTGGGAGAGGGAAGGTGAGTCCTAAGAAGCAGCCAGGGCCTGTGGTCCCTACCCCAATGATGTAGCGGGTGATGTCCTCGGCCACCGCGATGCTGCCGCTGTCAGTGGCCTCCCCATCAGTGATGATAATGAGCACTTTGGTGGCATCTGGTCGGGCACCCAGTTCTGGCCGAAATACCTCTGTCCTGTGTCCAGGAAAGGAGATGTGAGAGACTTCACATACCAGGACCTGGAGCCTCCCCACGTCCTAGCTCACTGAGTCACTGCCCTGGATTATAGCAAAGCCCTCCTTGCCTCTCTCAGGCACCATTAGAGCCTTCGGCATCCTCTTGTGCCCCTGGACCAGAGGCCTTCACGCTGTATTTCGGACAGCCTGGAGGGTGTTCCAGAGCGTATGGGCAGTCAGAGGAGCTTTTGCGAGGAACCACTCTGGGATTCCCGCCCTCCATCTCAGCCACATCATGGTCACAGTTTCATTAGCATGAGATGTTCACTCAAGAGAGAGGGTCCTGCAGTCGAAGAAAACTGAGAAGTCGCTCTTCCCTGCTGTTTGCTCCCTCACTGACTTCTCTCTAGCTGCACCGGCATCTGGCTCTTCTTGAACACCCCCCACATACTCCCTTCCAGGGCCTTCCTCTTACCTCTGGCTTGAATGGTCATCCCCCAGGTACCCACAAAGCTCACTGCCTCACCTCCAATGAGTCTTCAGCGGAATGTTATCGTCTCTGATCTTCCTACTATTGCTTCATTTTCCCTATAAAACTTCATCTCCTAATTTATCAGCTAATTTAAATGTACTGATTTATCCTGTGTCATGTATTTCATTCCCCTCCTAAAATGGTAAGCCCTAAGAGGACAGAGATTTTTTTCTTTGTTTCATGCACTGCTATATTCCTAATACCTAGAACGCAGAAAACAATAATTCACTGGCCAAATCTAGCCTGTGGCTTTTTTGTTTTTGTTTTTGAAGAGCTTTTTGCTATAGGGTGCATGTGCTCTCTAGAGAGACAGAAAGCAAGAGAGAAACCCCCCCCCCATGGGGGATGGCCACACCACAATCCCTTCTCCTCCAGTTTCCTTTGCAATTTTGGGCACGTACCCACACACGCACACGGTGTGTTTTAAGCTGCAGATCCAGGACTTGAACCACAGTCTACTATGTGTGAGTTTAGCAATGTAACCATTACTCCATCTACTGGTCTCTTTTTTTTGTTTTAAAATCTTTCTTCTGGGCCAGCAGGTGGCGTGGTGGTTAAGGGGTCTTGGATTCCCATATGGTCAACCACAGTTTGTGTCCTGGACCTGGCAGCCTGCTTTCTCACTTTCTCTTTCTTTTTTTTTTTTTTGGAGAGATTTTCACTGTAGGGCACGTGCGCTCGCCAGACAGACAGAGAGAGAGACAGAGAGACAGAAAGCGAGAAATCACCCCCCAGGGGGGATGGTCACGCCGCAACCCTTTCTCCTCCATTCTCCTCTCGGGATCTTGGGCACACACGCACACGCGCCTGGCGTGAGTCACTTTCTCTTTCATTCTCTCTCTTGTTCTGTCCCTCTCTGGTCAAATTAAAATAAATAAATAAATAAATAAGTAAAGACAGATAAAATAGTTATTTTTAAAATGAATGACTAGGGACCAGCAGTTAGCGTAATGGCTTATGTTGCTGGACTCCCATGTAGTCGACCATGGTTTGAGTCCTAGACCCAGTGGCTTAAACTCATGCCGGGCATGTGTGCGTGTGTGCCCAAGATCCCAAAAGGAGAATGGAGGAGAAGGGATTGCAGTATGGCCAACCCCCTTGGGGGGTGATTTCTCACTTTCTGTCTCTCTGTCTCTCTGTCTCTCTCTGTCTTTCTGGCGAGTACATGTGCCCTACAGCAAAAACCTCTCCAAAAAAAAAAATAAATAAATAAACATAAAAATAAAAATAAATAAAAGAATAAAAATGAATGAATAAATAATAAAATAAAGTAAAATAAAATAAAAACCTATTTCTTCCAGGGCCAGCAGGTGGCGTGGTGGTTAAGGGCATTGGACTCCCACATGGCTGACTGTGGTTCGAGTCCCAGACCCGGTGGCTTGTTTTCTCACTTTCTCTTTCTTGGTCTCTCTCTGATCAAATTGAAAAATAATAATAATAATAAACAAAGTTAAATAAAATAATTCTTTAAAAAAATCCATTTCTTCCATGAGAGAGAGACAGAGAGAAAGACAGACAGACAGACAGGTGGGTACTCCCAACAGGATCTTCATGTTGTGATGCACCCCCAGCCTCAAAGACATGTGCATGCACCCTTTGTGTACAGGAAGGCCTCAGGATGTGAACCCAGGACGTTCCATGTGGGTCCAGCAGCAGAGTGGTACACTACTGCTGTGCCACCAGCTGATCTCACAGCTCATTTTTGTGTGGTCCATGAGCTAAGGCTGGTTTTAATATTTTTAGAGGATTATAAAGTCGAATGAAGAATATGTGACAGAAATCACATGGAGCCAGAAAATCCTAAAATATTTGCTATCTGGTCCGTTATAGAAAAAATGTTCAGACTTCTGGACTCTTGGGTTGTTGGGAAAGTCATGATACACCTTTGCAAGGAAAAACAGAAAATACATCATGACGTTCTCAATGACCTAATAGAACACCATTTGGCACAAAGCCATTTGCTCAAGGAGTATTTATGACACACATTTCCATGACCACTTCTTTTTGCTCCCACAATCGGCATCTTTAGACATGACACCTTCTTCTAAAAACTCGGAGAAGTACTTTTTTCA